CTTTTACCAACGAATTGACCGTCACATTATAACGCCCTCACGGCTGAAAGGGCGAGCATGTTTGGTGTGACGGGGATTCGAACCCGCGACCCTCAGATTGCGAGTCGAGCGCCGTAACCACCTGGCCATGCCGGGCCGACACGGGTGACATATGTAATACTTGATTCATACAAAATCATCGACTATTCGATATTGCAAAACAGATTTATATCTGGAGGCATAATTCGCAACATCTCTGAAAGAGAAATATTTATATTGAGAGATTCTTAAACGAAGCAGAGTCATAGAATACAAAATTTCAAAGAATGGAACCTTTAATATTATTCATGGAAGCAAAAATAATATGCACTTTTGGAATATCAGTAAGTTCCCAATTACTACACCACCAATCAGAAACAACGCCTTCTGCGAATAAGACTATGATTACGAAAGAGAGCTTTCCGACCCCCCTCCCTAAAAAAATATTAATTGTAATAAAATTAGACCAATTTTTTGGTAACGTTAATAAAATAATAAACAAGGATCTGAAGTTGACGAAGGCTCACAAATCAAACTTTCACAAGTTTCCAGCCACTCCTCAAAACCAGCGTCTGCTTTCGTAAGAAAGATAGTCGAGAACATAGAGGTCACAGACAATTCCTCTCAACCATATTTTATACATGTTTCTTGATGTACTTACAATTGAGCTTCGTTCCTTTAGTCTGCATAAACGTGATACTAGAGGACAACGTTCTGGTACATTGAGAGATCTTTGGAAAGTTTGTAAAAACGGGTGTTGACCATGCCGTTCTTCGCAGAAACATTCTACAATGGAACTTGGCGTGTCGGGCAGTAGTACTTAATCTTGGTCATCAGATCGAGAACAGAGGGTGGAGTTTGTTTTAAAGAAAGCACGAGACTGGAACGTCGTTCTTATAAATCGCAATTAACTATCAGTATTTTCCTTTTCTTAGGGATTGGGCGTAGCCTTTTGGTTCGAGTGCCGCACTGGAAATCAGAGGGTCTGTGGTTCGCATCGCGTTGTCTCAAAATCGCGCTCCGTATTTGGCTGTGTGTGCGCTATAATAGTGACAATCAAGTCTCACTATGCAATTCCAGTAGACCAAAAACTGGCGGTGGGTGCTGCTACGTAGTTGCCTTTCCTCTAGATTATCGGCGAAATGAAGGAATATCCAACACCAAACCAACCATACTTTTTTTAGCTTTAAATGTTGTCTTACACTAACCTACATTATAGTTTTTACATTTGTTTTGAGGCACACAACAGTACTCTGCCCAGTATAATGATGTACAATAATCACATATCTAAGTTTAAGCGACACCTATATATGCCCAAAACGAAGCATTATACAGTAAAAATGACAAATGCATTTATATATTTATATTTATATTTGGAGGAAGTATTTTTATTTTTTAAATTAAAAAAAACAACATACACTTGAAACATACTGGTAATGTTTAATGGTAAATATAAGAACGTGTTTATGTTTAACTTGATAAACGGCAATAAGTGTTAATGAATTGATTCACTACCTAACTGTGTTGTGTCGAAATCATTCTTCTACGGAAATAGACTGTGTTGCGTCATCGAGATCACGTGACTATTCTCACGCCCTCTACTTTCTAGAACTATCCTGTACTTTGGCGAATGCTCTAGCATTTACTAGATATAGGGTAGTCTGATATATAAAAGAGGGTGACAACGTGACGGTAATGTGTGTGTAGATAGTGAGTAATTGAACTGAAATCAGAAGTATTGTTGACGTTCGTTGATATAGCGTTTGTTTTAGCGTGATTGTTGAAAATAAGTGTATCGTAAAGTTGTATTCGGAAAGAATAAACCAGTTTTATTAAGTAAAGATTTGTGCCGCTAAAGTTTCGTCGGAACGAAGTTACGGAAAGTTAATTAACAGACGGAGACGTAACAACTGGTTTACGCAACTTTTAAGTGCTATGTTCATACTGTACAGAAAACATTACAATGGCTGGCTGAACAATTTTCAATTGTGTTGAAACTAACGTATTATTAGGCCTCGTGAAAAAAAAAACGGGGAAGTTTGTCAACATTAGTCTTATTTACAGAATGACACATCAACATTATATGCTGTAACAGAGAAACAAAACTAAACCAAAAAAAAAACTGCTGATAAGTGAATCAAGACACGCTAACTATTCATTTGATATAACTTTTTAAATTATGTCAGTTTATAATCTCGAATTTTTTTTTGTAATCTGAAGTAAAATAAGTATATGAACGGACACAACTAAGTCAGCATTTATCACTCCCACAGTCGCGTCAGTTACGAACTAGTGAGAAAACAATGAATGGTAATACACATGGTAATATGTTAAATTTTACCGTACAGAATGTTGGAATAACGGTTTGGTTCGTTTGTAATTTCGCGCAAAGTTACTCGAGGGCTATCTGTGCTAGCCGTCTCTAATTTAGCAGTGATAGACTAGATGAAAGGCAGCTAGTCAACACCACCCACTGCCAACCCTTGGACTACTCTTTTACCAACGAATAGTGGGATTGACGGTCATATTATAACGTCCCCATGGCTGAAAGGGCAAGCATGTTTGGTGGAACGGGGATTCGAACCTGTGACCATCAGAGTGCGATCCGAACGCCTTAGCCACCAAGCCCTGGAATAATGGTTTTGACAAAGAAATACCCATCGATAAGGATTTGAAATAGGAAAATATATTATTTTTAAAACTTATCCTTGGATTTGGAAAGCGTTTTAATTCTTATGTTTTGATTTCCTATAAACTATATCTGTTTGCACGATATTTGGCATCTATGTATAAAACGATACAACTCCTGTTAACAATATAATGTTTGCGTTGCTAATACATGTATACGACAGCAAGTAGCTTTATACTGATGTAAACAAATTTGTCTATGTTAACTTACCAAAAGAAGCTTAATTCTGGATTGTATTCTTAACCATGGGTTCCTGCAAATTAAAAACGCTTCAACACCTATTCGATTCGATTAAAGAAAGGTGATGGATTATGTTGCTAAATATCAAAATATATGATTGTATATAAACTTACCTCTTGATAGTTATCAGTTTAAACAAACTGAAAGATAGTTGTCCCCATACTTAATGAAATGTAACATGTCACCAGATAGTTCGTGTCGTCTCTCTGGAGCTCACGTGTCGACTCACAGTCACTCACTGCTATAGAGACCAAACGAGCAGGTATAAAATTATCTTACGCATGCGCTCTAGCATGAACGACGTAAGGACTGTAACAAAACATGTTATTTAGCTAATTTAGCTATCTACACACATACATTAGTATATACATGCATATATATAATTTTTATGGTTCCAGTATATGATGTAATTCCTATCATTAGACGCAGCATTTGGTTGACACTGCCAAGATGATCAACTATTTGAAACATCCAACTGATAGTTGATTGAAAATGGTTAATATATTTCTTTCATTTTTTTACTTGTTGTTTTGTAGTATGCTACTTTTTTTTTGTTTATTTGTAACCGTATACTTAGCTTACGTTATCAATAAGTTGATATTTTAAATCTGTCGTGCAATGACCAGTTACGTAAGAAAATACAACTTTAATAACTTGATTTGAATTAGTTACTTTTCCCCTCAGTTTACAATTCCAACGATTCATATGTTTCACGTTATTTTAGAATATTGATATCATCCTTTTAAATTGAAACACGAAAACTTCTCAAACAAATATCGATCAGGTTGGAGCTCTCAAGTGAGTCTAAAGCCGAGAAGAATGTGTAAAGGACGTTTCTGTTTCTCATGTTACACAAACAAATCTACACGGTTAATGACAGAGAAAACGACTTGGTTCGCAAGTTCTAAGGCATCTATAATCATAAGACCGACGCTCTATGTTCCCTTTAAAAACAAAAAATGTACAGGGTGTCCCAGAATTCTGGACCCATAGGGAAAATGGACATTATATTCTTAAAGTTAAAGAAACACATTTCTAATATCAGTTCTACATATTTCAGGAAAGAAAATACCCTGATAGCATAGTATACCAAGAATTGATATGTGTATGACTGTTAATATCATGCAATTTGAATAATAAATAAATTACGAATACATTGTATATTTTCCCTATGGGTCCAGACTTCTTGGGTCTCTTTTTAGTGGCTGTATTTTTCCTGCGACAGTATTCTAACTGGAATATATACATGTTAAGTATAACATATATCATTCTAAAAGTTTATATATATATATTTCTTTTGCAACTCAACTCTGCAATTAATATTTAGATGAAGTAAAGTTTACATAGAACTTAAGTAATTCAGCAATCAGTAAATCGATGACATTAAGAACATTCGTCACTACTGTTAGATTTCAACTTTTATTAAAAACTCTATGAATTACCAAGTTGTTATGGTTAGCCATCAGCCAACTTTCTGTCGTTTAAAACTCTTATTCCGGAGTATCTTTTTCTAATTATTTATTTTAAATGTTCAAAATCTTCTTCTTCTAACTCAAATGAAGTTTGTTTTGTTTTTAATTATGCACAAAGCTACACAAGGGCTATCTGTGCTCTGCCCACCACGGGTATCGAAACCCGGTTTCTAGCGTTGTAAGTCCGCAGACATGCCGCTGTGCCACTGGGGGGCATGAAAAAGAAAGCTTGGAATAAGCACGTATAATGTTACCGTATGTTTACAAAATTAATGTTGAATTTTTTTCACGAGTAATCGAATTTTTTTGCTAATGAAACATTTTTGGATTTAATGAAAAGTATGAATACTCATAGTCAAAGTAGTGACCTAAAACTTGTGCTGGCTTTAGATGATTTTTACTTGAAATACTAAACTGTTTCTCATGGTGAATAGAATGGTGTTAGGTTTTACTGTAAGATTTTCATCATCACGCGAATTTGTTGTTGAAATAGCTAGGTCAGTGTTCTCAAGGGCATCTGTGTACTTCAAAATATTTAATTTTGTTTTTCATTAGTTTATTTTCGTATTCAGTTTTTCATTATGTACAACACTTCGTAATGACTTTACTGTCAATATTTATTTAGCATTTGTAATGTTTAAGTATATAGTTAAGAAATTGCCACATCTTGCTTTCGAAACTTATCTTACCTTTCCTCTAGAATAAAAGAACAGACAGGTACACAAACACTGTATCACGTCAACCTGCAGCGAGTTATTCTAAATGCATGTTTTTGAGTGACGTACTTATAAGCCAACTTAATAATCTTCAACTCGACATACTTGACTTGGCCTACGTGCACTTAGACAGTTGTATACTATATAGATATGCCCTGCAGAAATCAGCTTGGAAGACCTAAAAGAATTATTAAAGATCATCCAGACAAAAAGAAAACGCTCCTGTTGGCCTCCACCGCTGTGAGTAAACCAGTTGAAAGTCCTTCAAATCCGTTTTCTCTCAGACAGGCTCTATGATCCTGTCATCTCAAGTCTTTCAGGAGTGTTTCCATTGAAGATAAACGAGAATAACAAATCAAGCTGAAATTGTCTTAATAAATATAAAATAAATCTTTACTTAAGCTTATATTCACAAAGTAAGACCGCATGGTAAAATATTCAATTAAAATAACTCTGAATACAATAACCTAATACGACCGAACGTATTTTGATAGTTAGAAATATATATTTCTATTTCTGGTATTGGAGTTTAATTTTTATCATTATCAAAATTAACTTTGATATTATAATAACAACCTTTCAAACCTTATAACTATGGCTTGATAACTCTAATAAGATAACTTCTAATAAGAAAACTTTTTATAAATATATACTTTACACTGGTAGTGTCTAACCTCATGTACGTTTTCGCCATTGCAGGTTTAACATTAGCTAAAGCGGTCTTACGTGTAAGCTAACTAAACATATTGTTACGACAGCGGAAGTCACGCAATGCTGGGAACATACGCGCTGGAGTTTCTCGAAGGATCGTGAATTTTCCTGGCAACTCTAGTTTTTTCCAGACGCCCTCTTTTTTAGGATACAAGCCCGGCAAATAAAGCTTGCGAAAAAGATAGAATTGCATAGATAGATAGACATAGAGATATAT